GGACAGTCTCTTAATTCAGAGTGATACTTTTCTTTTGAGTTTCCTCGAAAACTTTGATTTCAGGCCAGGCATGATGGTTGCCATAATCCCAGCATCTTGGGAAGCTGAGGCAGGAGGATTGAGAGTTCAAAGCCAGCCTCAGCAATTTAGTGAGACCCTGTCACTAAATCAAATATAAAAAGGGCTGTTTTCTTGTTTCTATGCCTTTCTTTCTCTTAATTTCAAGAATCGGGTTTCAGCATTATCAGATGTCAGTAAGAGAGCTATTTCCTTTGTCTCTTTCCTGGGCTATTTCTTTTACATGACAACATTGCTGAACACCATAATCTTTATTGTATCCTTACTCTGAGATACCTCAATGCAGCCAGAGGTTTTAATGGTAGGTTTTAGAAATCTTTAATTTGACCCTTATTGAGAGGCTGAGTTTTACTTGGCTTTTTAAAATATTTCCTTTATGAGATTTAGGATCAGTTGAGCTTTTCCAGCTCATTAAATATCAAATTTCTGGAATGTCTCTGTTCCCTCTCATTTCTATTTGCAAACTTCTACATTCATTTAGAAGCTTGTAATTTTTGTATACATGGCCAAGTGCAGCCAACAGTGCTCAGCATACACAGTGATCATAGTTTCCAAGCGCTTCTCTAGAGATTTAGGTACATCAAGAATATTATTTGCCTTCCAAGTTATCAAAGGTGTTGGTTTTGCCAAATATTTCACCACTTCACAACAAGGATTGTGCTCCTTCTTGTTTCCATTAACAGCTTCTTTATTCATTGCCCAACCACTAAGTCAGTATCAAAATTTTAGGTTTCTGTTGTGGGAGCATCCCTCCTTTGATATTAATTTCTATAACAAATTAGTTTATGCTGCAGGAATTTTTTTAAAACCCAGTTCTTGGTTGTTTTTTTAATAACAAAAGCTGTAGTTCCTGCTCATGCTCCTCCTCAGGTAGATCACTAGTGGTCCCCTTAGGAACCAGACTGAAGAAGGCTCTGTCTCCATGTGCTTCCATGATTTTCCCCAGGCAGGAAAAAGTAAATGGCAACTCTTAAAGGTTCCACATAAAAAGGAAATATCTAATTTCTGCTCATATTTCATGAGTCAAAACAAGTTATATGGCCAAACCCAACTCTAGGGGGAGGGCTGAGGGAGCATAATTCTGTTACATGCCTGGAAGGAGAGGAAAGATCATTGAGCAACTCTAATGGTTGCCCCCATGGCAACACCCTGGCCTAAGGAAATGATTGCTGGCAGTTGTGTAACTATTTAGGATCATGGCACACTGCCTGCCTGCCTGCCTGTGTGTGTGTGTGTGTGTGTGTGTATGTGTATGAGTATCAAACTTTTAGGTTTATGAGAGAGAGAGAGAGAACAGCTCTGCCCCACATTGTTGCAGGCAGTAAACATGACGCCTTTCTCCATATGGCTTTCATTACAACTTCCTTTCATTAGGAAACCAGTGGGGGTGTTCTGGAACATCACAGAAATACCAGGAATGAGACCCACCAAGTTGCTTACAAACTCAGCAATGCTTCCTTCCAATATTCAAGAAAAAATAAACCCCTAGGGTAATCTGACTTCTCTCTCTCTTTTTCCCACTGAGACCTTGGACAAGAAACATCACCTGAAATTCTGTGATAATATGGGAAATAACATGGGGTGTACCTCAGTGGCAGAGCACTTGCCTAGCATGCTCAAGACCCTGGGTTGGATCCCCAGCACTGTGAGGGGGAAAAAAAATGGAAAGAAAAACAATTTTCAGGAATAAGAACACTAGAGGATTCTTCTTTTGGTAGCATTGACAATGATGTATTGTTAATTTTACTTTCTTTTTCAGGAACAAGCACCCACTTTAAATTCAACCACGAGTGAGAAGAGGTTGTAGAGTTCACATTGGTATTTCGGTCAATGATTTTCTTTTCAGACTCAGTATAACCCAAAGAGGCAATGAAATTTTATGGAAGTTAATTGATTGAACCCAGGGGCACTTAAACACTGAGCCCCATCCCCAGTCCTTTTTATTTTTTATTTTGAGACAGGGTCTTGCTAAGTTGCTCAATCTGGCTTTGGACTTGCAATCTTTCTGCCTCAGTCTCCCTACTCACTGGAATTGCCAGTGTGCACCACCATGCCTGGCTACTTCTCCCCAGGGGCTTCATAGGGGCTATGAAGAGAAGTCGGCTTCTGCAGCTGAAGAGCATATAAGAGGTATCTAAGTGGAAGGTTTCATTTGAAATGGATCCCAGCATTTGAGGACTAGTAGGTAATCCTATTTTAGTGGCAAATAGTTGTTAAAAGGAAAACGCACATAGCAGATGCCTTAGTGTAAGAAAAAGAATGACGTTTGACTTTGTGGACAATTATGGGTTCAAATTTCTGTGCCAGCTGGGCAGAGTGGTGCTCATCTGTAATTCCAACAGCTCAGGAGGCTGAGGCAGGAGGATCACAAGTTCAAAGCCAGCCGCAGCAGCAACTTAGTGAGATCCTAAGCAACTCAGTAAGATCCTGTCTCTAAATAAAATACAAAACAGGGCTGGGGATGTGGCTTATTGGTTTAGTTCCCCAAGGATTCAATCTCTGGTTACTCCCTACCCCCTCCAAAAAAAAAAAAAAGGAAAAAAAAAAGAAAAAAGAAAAAGAAAGAAAGAAAAAGTCAGTTCCATGAAATGTCTGACACTGACTCTGTAATCTTGGGAAAATCCTCACTGTCATATGACAGAAGTATACCTTCTTATAGCACAGCATGAAGAGTAAGTGAGTCAGTGAAGTGAGGTGCTCAGTTCCATGGCTGAACCACGTAGGTGCTCTGTAAATGCTGGTTCATCACTTGTCTCCCCAAGAAAAGGCCCTCTAGAGAGAAAGTAGAGAATTCTGACCAGGAATGGACCCCGGGGTCTAAAAATATGAGAACCCACCTCAGAAAAAAAACAAAAAAACAAGATACTACTAAAGAATTTTCAAAAATTGTGGTCGAATGACCCCTTTCACCTCAGAGTTTTATAATCCCACTCCCTATCATCTCTCCTTTTCTGTTTATTATTCTCTCTCTCTCTCTCTCTCTCTCTCTCTCTCTCTCTCTCTCTCTCTCTCATTATATCTTTTCCTTTTAAAAACGACTTCTTCCAGCTCCTGGATTTTATTCTTTCTCTTTGTTTCTGTCGTCCTCTTCTTCATGCTGTTCCATTTTTCTGTCACTCCCAATCCATAGTTCTCTCTCTTCTCTCCTGTTTTGTATTTCATCCTGTAAGTTGTTCAGCATGGGCCACCTGGAGGTGAATCTTGGAGACTGTGCTGGCTGTCTTTGGTGCCTCTCTGTGCACCCTTTCTGTAGCTGTCTCCGGTGACCCTCAGTGAAACCCCTTCCCCTGTGCCCCTTCCGGGCATTCCCTGGGCCATGTCAATCTGTTTCCCTACTAAAAATCTGTTCTTAGAATTGGATCTGATCAACTCTAGAGACAAAAGTATAAACAACTTACTGAGTTTGAAGCTTTACTTTTCTCAAGAGTACTAGAATCCCAATTAAGTGCAAAGCCTTTAGACTAAGAATAAATCTCTAGAAATAATTCCAGGTAATAGGAAATGACGGAGCACTTTTTCTTTTAGGCAGGAGTCTTTTCCTGCCCAATACACCTATTCACAGAATTTGATCTATTTTGATATTTTAGAAGAAAATAAATAGATTCAGATTGAGGTACAGTTAGATTTGGCCACCTTGTGGTACGTGGCAGTGTTTCAGTCTCATCGGTTTAGAGCTAGAAACTAATTACAAAGGGATCCTGTGCAACAGATGCAACAATTAATTTAAGGTAAATCAGTTCAATCTGGCTTTTTCATCCTTTCTGTATTTTATCAAATTTAATGTATTGCAAGGCAATATGAGCCCCATTATACATGTTTGCAACCAGCATGAATCAATCAAACCAAAAGGCCTTTGCACCCTGACAGTGTCCTGGCAGCTTGTTGGGGGTTGCCAAGTATGAGCTCCATGGTCATGGTCAGCCCCATGCTAAAGATTTGCATGCTTTTCAAGGGCTTATAAAAATATCTGACTCCTGAAAATGGTATTGGTCCTCAAGTATGACAACTAAAAATTAATAGATATTGAACTGAATCTCTGCAAATCAAAGCATTCAATCAACTGGCTACTGCTCAATTATTATGTCATTATATATACATTATATTTAATGTGGGAGGTGAATTTATTTGAATGTTTTGTTGTGGGATTGGATCTTCCACAAGTAAGCACGCACACCGGCCCTCGGGGGTCTTAGAACAGCCCTGGGTATCAGAGATTTGAAAATCTGCATCAAAGTGAAAAAATAAGGAACCATTTCTCCAGAGTCACATGAGTCTCTAGGCACAAGTTCAGTGAGGAGTTTGCGCAGGACGAGGCGGCTGCACAGGGATCAAAAATGGGAGACACCCTTTTTGATCAGAACTCCTTCATGGAGTAAATTGTTATATGAGATAGGGGAATGTGATGGACTGAGTTATATTGTCCCCAAATTAACATTTTCACGCCTTCAATCCATAGATGACTATATGGCAGGCAAGGCCTTCAAGGAGATGATTAAGGCTCCAGGAGGTCCTAAGTGTAGGGCCCTGATCCTTTAGAACTGGCATCCTTGTTAAAAAAAAAAAGGCATTAGATTTCCCTCTCTTTTGGATGGAGAAGGTGGCTATCTACAAGCCAGGAAGCAGGTCCTCAGCAGGAACCAAATCTGCCAGTGTCTTAAATTTGGACTTCCAGCTCTGTGGCCCAGAGCAGGGCTTTTGCATTATTCTGGTTGAGCAAATCTGGACAGGAACTGAACTTCCCAGGTCTGTGTGACTCCTGGTGGAGTGCCTTTCTGCCCTCTAAGCCTCCACCTTCCTCTAAATACATACCAAATGAATTCTTAAAGAATATCTGTTTTGAAGGGGCAGCAAGCTATCAATCACCTCGAGCACCTGCAGGCCCGTATTGGATCCCACCCTGGCGAACCTGTAACCCCTCATACCTCGAGGTCATAGCCGATGCCGTGGGCCTTGCACATCTGGAGAAAGACATAGTGGAAAACCAGAGAGAGATTGTTGTGCCTCAGCTGGGTGCTCATCACGGCATAGCGGCTGGTTGCCAGCAACTGGAAAAGGCCACAGCTGAAAGTTAGGCTCTTTCTAAACACATTTAGACACACTTTGGGAGTTAGAATAGCTGCAGACAAGCAGAAAAGCTAGAGTGGCCTTGTCATTGACATCTTACAGAACTGTGGGGTATTGGTGAGACAGGGGCACTGTGTCTTTGAGAGGAAGATCACACAAATAAACTGCCAGTTTTATCACTTTGTATCAAGGGTCCATGCTGCTATAGATTGTTGAATTTCCCCTTAGTTCCATGTGTGAAGGTCTTAGTCCCCAGGGCTGTGCTATTGGGAGGTGGTGGAACATTGGGAGGCGGGTCCTTATGAGCTGTCCTTAGGTTAGTGGGGACATGCCCTCAAAGAGGATTGCGGGAGCCCCATGCCTTTCTCTTTCTCTCTTGCTTTGAGTCCTGGCTCATGATGAAAGTGGTTTTGCTCTACTACCTTCCCCCCCAGTTTTACAATCTGTCATCCCCACCAGAGGCCTAAAGCAATGGAGCCGCTCCATCATGGACAGGACCATAAAAACTGTGGGCAAAATACACCTTTTCTCTTTAAGTTAAAATTACCTCAGATATTTTGTTTTAGTAACAGAAAGGTGGCCAACACATATGCTATCAACATGACTTATTGCTGATGATGCTCACCTGGATTATCTGGCTACAATTTCTTCTGCCACCTTAGCAAAACTTTACAGGTTTCTCTCCTAAAGATGCTTTTTCTCCTTTCCCATACCATACATTTTGGAAGCAAGCCACTGAACATAACCCACTTGCTTGAGGTTGCTAATATTATAATTTTTTTTTTGTACCAGGGATTGAACTCAGGGGCTCTCAACCACTGAGCCACATGCCCAGCCCTATTTTATATTTTATTTAGAGACAGGGTCTCAATGAGTAGCTTAGTGCCTTGCTTTTTGCTGAGGCTGGCTTTGAACTCACCATCCTCCTGCCTCAGCTTCCTGAGCCGCTGGGATTACAGGCATGCGTCATTGTGCCCAGCTCAATATTAGAATTTTGATATGAAGTGCTTTCTTTGGAAGATGACTATTCTTTATCTTGCTTATCCATCAGGGGGAGCTACCCCAAAGAGACTAGTTACAATAAACCCAAAGAATTTTACATACATATTTCCCCAAAATATTTAAAACTGAATACACAAAAAGTAACACATTGAATCCTGATAATTTTGTAGCATTCCATTTTTGAGATGTGACATTTACATCTGACAATCAGCTGTTTTTCCTGGGATAACTAGAAATTTGAAGAACTGCATATAGGGCAAACTTAGGTCATAGAAGATAAGATTCCTGGCCCAGATCTTAAACTTAAGGGATCCTCAGGTGCTGGGCAACCAGGTGCAGTGACTTGGAAAAGAAGGCAAAGGAGGTGCAAATGGTGGGAAGCTGGCTGTGGGCGATCCTAGCAAGCTGACACTCATCCATAGTCAGTCTTCAGGCTGTCTGTCTGTCTGTCTGTCTCTGAGATAATGCAGAGATCTGGGGATGACTGAGTGCCATCACAGGGCGGTCATATCCTTTCCTCTCCTGTGTATCTCTCACACAACACAGGTTTCATGGTCACCCCATGTGGAGTATCTTTTCCTTCAGCATTTATATCAAGTGCTGTTATCTGAGGGTCATAGTCAGTACCGCTGTTAAGGCTGCTCTTCCCATATGTAGGCAGAATCCATGCCTATGAAAATGTTAGGGGGCTGGGGTTGTGGCTCAGTGGTAGAGCACTTGCCTAGGATGTGCGGGGCACGGGGTTCTATCCTCAGCACCATGTAAAAATAAATAAATAAAGGCATCGTGTTCATTCACAACTAAAAATTTAAAAAAATAAAAATAAAAAGATGTTAGGCCCCTGAAGACTAATGCATCTTGGATTGCACACCTTCATATGTGTTATCCCATCTGTAGCCACTGGAATTTTTTAAAAACTTTAACTAATATACAAAAACATAAAAATACATATTAATGGGATATCATGTGATGTTTGATACATATATATACTCTATAATGTTTAAGTCAGGTTAAACATATTTATCTCCTCAAACATTCATCATGTTTGATCAAAAGCCTTTCTTCTGGCTTTTTGAAAGGTACAGTGTCTAATTGTTATCCATAGTCACCATACTGGCAATAGTAATCCAGAGCTTCTTGTCCCCATCTAACTGTGACTTATACCCATTGGTCAACCTTTCTCCATCATCTCCCAGGATTTTTGTTTTCTTTTGGACAAAATAAAATCTACTTGACCCTCCCATGCCTGTACATTGTTATCACCCTTGACCTATCATGAGTTGCTCTCCTATCTATCTCTTGGTTTCTGAATCTCTAAATTGGGCATTATGCTAGAATGCAGAGCAGGCCTTCAGTGTTTACTGAATGAGAGAAAGATTGAATAAATGGAATAGATTAGGTGGAGAGCACTTCCCTCTGACTTGAGACTCTTCAAAACACGTGACTCAAGGCGTAGCCAGTCAATGAGTGCTTAGGGTGGAAGCCTGTGATTTACAAAGCCTAGAGGATGGTCACACCATCTCCCCAAGAATGACAACTCAGGGCCATCTCTCAGGCTTTGCCTCCCGGAGGACAATGTGGTCCAGATGGACTAAGATTGGTGAGGTGACCAAAACCAGCTAAGAGAAGCTCTGGCTCAGCTGGTTAGTCAGTCTGGATGGCCACGGCCACCAGCTCTGTCCACCCTGCCATGCCAGGCTGTGCCTTGCTCCTGCCTTCAATGAAGGCCCAGAAGCCTGAACTTTTGCACATGGCAGTGAACTGTAAATACTCTGGAATTCTATTGTGGTTACTGAGCATGTAATTGCGTGGTAATTGCCATGAATTCAAAAGATAATTCCAAGGTTATTTTTGTCTTCTAAACTTGTCTTATGCTGCCATACTATATAAACAAGCAAAATCAAGATCAAGCCCCAGTCAGCCAGAAGGACAGGCAGGCACCTGCTTGTACGATCAGCTCAATGCTGTGTATCTTGTCTCCAGAGTACAGCAGAAGAGCTCACTGTCCTGTGGTACGTGGTTATTAGACAGGTGGCACTGAGGTTTCTTCCTTTCTGTGGATGCAGACTGCAATCCCACCTCCTGCCGAACCTGAGCTTGAAATTCATGAAAGATCCAAAGGAAGAGTCAGACATTTAGTATGTCTCTCAGTTGCTGCATCTTTTCTGTTACCATCACCAACCTAGTCCAGACCTTTATTTCCAGGGAGTGCTGGAGATGGAGATGCATGCAGAATTCTGCTGTGGAAAGGTTGTATGGAATCAGCAAGGCTGATCGTCAAAACCTGTCTGGGCCACTTACTATCTGTGTGATCTTGAGCATATCATTTAACGTCTCTGAACTTTTGATCACCTAGCACTGGGCCTGGAACCTGGTAAATGGTAGCTGCCATTTTTGTTGCAGTTCCTTTAAAAGGGCTTTGGACCTACAATACATGTAATTCCGAAGGTTGTTCCTTTGCTGATCCTCTGTCTCCTGGGATTTCGAGTTTACCCCCAGTTGGATGATTTTCCCCAAGCCCAGGTTCTCCCCAGGTTGGTCATTCTCCTGCTCAGAAGTCTTCATGTCTCTTCTTAAGGGCCTTCAAGTTGAAATCCAGGAGCTTGGCTGAGTGGGCAGCCCCAGGCTTGCTCACTGCTCTGTCCTCGCCACTCCTTACCTCTCCCTCCCCTGATTCTCTGCTCTTGGTTCACTACTGCCTCTTTACAGACCAGTCTCTCTTCAGACTCATTCCCATCTGCTGGGGGAGGTCTCTTACTGATTGCTCTCATCCTTAAGGCCATACCAAGTTCTGTGTACTTTACAGTATCCCCTGGACCTACTAGTCCAATGCATGTCTCCTAAGAACTCCAGCAGTAGGCCGGGATTCTGTCACTCAAATTGCATTTACAGGAGGCCTTGTGGGTTTTCCTTGTGTATGTGCTGTTTTAATGCCAATGTCTCTTCTGTATCTCCTCTCAACTTCTCAAGGATGGGAATTTTGTCAAGTGTCTTTGTATCTTGATGCTTGGTGAAATTCCTGGCGTATATTAAGTGCTCAATAAATGTGTTACAATAATCCTAAGAAAGATGAACATAAAGAATATACCTCCTTTTAAAAAAGACTTAACCAATCCTATGGTTTCTACAGAAAAAAAAATCTGTTGAAATGTATTTTCTAAGCTATACTTAAAACACGTACAAAAAGATGCATGTACAAAGTTATTATCTATAGTATTGTTTGTAATATGAAAAATGGAAGCAACCCCAAAATCTACCTGCAGAGAAAAGGGTAACTAAATTATGGCACAGCATGCAAACAGAATAACATGCGGATGTTGAATGAGAACATTCTTAATGAACTGGTATAGAAAGTTCTTCAGAGAAGAAAGTGAAATTCAGAAGTGTGAATCATAGGGAACATTTTGGATATAAAGGGGGAGAGAGATCTTCTATGTGTGTATTTACTTGTCTGTACAAAGGATATGCTGAAAGCACACACAAGCCCTGAGAGTGGAGGTGATCGTTGTGGGGTGAGGTGGGAGCTGGGCAATAGGCTTCATAGCCATCAGAAGGACTGGCCTTTTGAATCATGCAAATTATATGTACTTCAAAAACTTAAATAAGAATGCCATTAAACTTGATCTTGAAGAGCTGAAATGTTACTTCCTGAGTATTTTTGTGTGGAAAATGTTTTAGAAAAATATATAAAAGCTTGTCTCTAGGGCTCATGGTATAGGTGACACGATCTTTTCCATACTTTCTGCTGTTTATATTGAAATCTTGTTTCTTTTCCAAAATCCAAGACTCATCCACACCCATCCAACCCATAGAGTACTACTGAATTTTGGCTGAGCTCAGAGCAGACAAGTAGCCAGCTTCTGAAGGCACCATGCCTACCAACAGCCTCAGTCCACAGGGGGAGGGATGCTCCTCTGGAGAAAGACTTTTCTTGATGGCCTCACCCAGAGACTTCCTCTGGATGAGTGTCACCTCCTCTGTGGCAGGATCCCTGACTCTCAGCCAGGGTGAGTCAGGGTAAACATACAAGCCTTGAAATTTGACAACCCTGAGGTTAAATCTTGGCTTTATCAGTTGCTTGCTGAGCAACATTTACTGAGTTGCTTAATATTTCTTAACATTCTTTGATCTTCTTATCTAAAAATAAACATGATAATAGTAATTGCTTAATATATTGAGTTGTAAAAAGATTCCTGTAAAGCCTGTATCAAATACCTGATGTGGAAAAAGGCTCACAGCATTCTGGATGTTATTATCATACTAACATATGCGGCATAGTTATCTGCTGCCTAATTGTATCCTTCCATAAATCTGGAACTCTTTGCTGCTTGTCCTTATGTCCTGTGGATGGTTATTTTGTTGTTGTTGTTGTTTTCTTATGTGTGTGTGTGTGTGTACTAGAGATTGAACCCAGGGACACTCTATCACTGCATCCCCAGAACTTTTTATGTTTTACATTGAGACAGGGTCTCACTAAGTTGCTCAGGCTGGCCTTGAACATGCGATCCTCCTGCCTCAGCCTCCCGAGTCACTGGATCACAGGTGTGTGCCACCACACACAGCCTCTGAATGCCAGGCATGAATACATGTTGAGTAAATATCTGCTGGATTTACTTCCTCTTGATTCTTCCTGAAAGCATTAACTCATACAGCTAAGGTGATGGCTGATGAAGACTTACTGTCATAACAATATTATGCCTTTCTAAAAGTTTCTGGGGGAGGGCAGCTCCATGCAGGAAAGGCTGCAGTATAGAAGACAGGCCTTTTCCATGTTCCCTCGCAGCTGAAGTTGCCCAGGTGGGCTGGAAACAGAGCTCCTTCCTACAGGCCAGCAAAATCAGCTTGCTCAAGAGAACTTGGCATCATTTAGCCCTCCCTTATTCTCAAAATAAGGAAACTGAGGCCAAGGACAAGATCAGAACTCATGATGCCTGACTCCCAGACCAGTGCCCTTCACTCCAGATTCCCTGGCCGCATGGAGAACATGTGGGAATTTAAGAAGCAAGCCTTTTCTACAAAAACAGGGAAAAAATAAAAGACAAAGCATTATTGGTAGAAGTCTAGTCTTATTAAACTACCTTTCTAAATCACAATCTAACAAGAGTGCTTCAAGCTAAATAAAGGAAGCTCGAAATACTCCTTTTCACTGGAGAATATAATTTTGTTTCAGCCACAATTTAAATTGATTTAGTTCTGAGCACCAGCATTTGAAGTGTGGAGCATATTCTATTTTCGCCATGATACTTGTTTTGACAGTGATGCATTTCAGTTGACATAGTTGAAATCCTTATGTAATAAATCTCTGCCTGAAAATTAATCATGTTTATAATATTCTGAGAATTAATAACACCCATTGCTCAAATCATTAACTTAAAAAAGGAGCTTCCAAAATCTGTTCTCGGCAGTAAGGGACCACAAATAAATGAATGTTTGATAAAATAATCCAAGTAGCAGTTTAACAAGCGTAAACTGGAATGTGGCTGCAATAACACAGAACTATTGTTTAAGGGTTGGCAGAGGCTGATGAGGTTCTTATTTCAGTTACGAAGCAGGCATCCACATGCATAATGAACTGCTCTCTGAATTATTAATGTGTTGCTTATTTAGCCTCATCTGTCTAGAAGATAATGTATCCTAACTCTAATGAGTGATTGGTTTTGTACATAATTACAGTAGCAGCGGTAGTGGGGAAATGTGTGCCTTCAAAGAACAAGTTCTAAAAATAAAGTCATCGCATAAACTCCGTTGTTGTTGCATTCTATCAAAATCAAACCCGAAGCATTTGAGAATTCATAATAAATTACAGGAGACAGAATCATTATTAACATCATAATTTAACACAAAAGGTTTTACTTAATCATTCATTACAGATCATGTGCTGTTAAGATGTGTATAAATGACTTGGGTTGTTTTAAGACATTGAGAAAGATGTTCCCTTTCGGCCACTCGCCAGCAGTGGCTTGGAGGGTCCAGAAAGAGGGGGCCCAGTGAAAACGGATAGAAAGGGGTGATGATTTTTTTGTGTGTGCCGATTATGACAGAACGTTATTTAAAAGTTCAAAAGTGATTTTTTGCTTATTTCTAAAACAGGCACACCTTGGATTTCTCACCTTCAGGTTTATTTGTTTACACCTTTAAGTGCTTATTTGCGGAGGAGACAGGTTCAGGAGTTTGCTCACCTGGTCTAATCAGGTCTAAACAGTCCAGCCACCTGTTTGTGACTTGGGACAACTCTGAGTCCTTTCTGGTAGTCCAGAACATTTTTTTTTTCTTTTCCTATCTCTGTATAACACATTATTAAAGAAATAAGCTCAGATGGGAATATTTGATAGGCATTGGTTGTGATTGCGCTCATTCTCATAGTGGTTTCCTCTGTGTGTTTCCTCCCTCTTGGTCTTCAAAAGGGGCTGTCAACTGCAAGCCTGACGCATCGCGGTCTGTTCACACTTGTTCAGGAGGCTTCAATTGGTTGCAAATTGTGCTGTGTATGCATCTGTACATGCTTCTTAAAAAAAAAAAAACACAGCCTATCACATGTGCACACACAAGCACAGTGGCACCAGGGTGAGTGCATCCATCTTTCTCTCTAACACCAAAAGCACTTTGAATGTCTCCCTGCATCAGAGACCCTGCACCGCTTTCCTACTGTAGAGACATTTGAATTATTGAAGATCGTAATGCTTCCTTCCGTCTTGTGTACAGGCAGTTCCCAAAAGTGTTTAACACTCTTGATCACAGGAGAATTCCCATCTGTGGCACGTAGCTAGGAACGAAACCTAGCGGCAATTGGGAAAATGGCAGAGTGCTTCTAATTCAAAGTACAACTTCTGCTCACAGTTTGTAAAGCTACTTAAGTGTGGTGAGTTGTCTTTGGAAGGCTTGTATTGAATACCAACTCAGCTTCCAGCTAGCTTCCTTTTGGAAGTGTCCTGCAGTTAGGTTCACTAGCCAAAAGGACTCACATGTTACTGCTCTCTCCCTCTGGCACTGAACCTGGGGTTCACAGCTCCCTTTAGTGAAGATAAAGGCCACAGGTGGGGCTGTGAGACACTGGTTCTCAGCAAGGTCCTGGGGCCTAATTAATCTCTCTAGTCCCACTCCGCCTCCCTTCTTTCTTTCTTTCCTTCCTTCCTTCCTTCCTTCCTTCCTTCCTTCCTTCCTTCCTTTCTTTCTTTTTGGTACCAGGGATTGAACTCAGAGGCCCTCAACCACTAAGCCTCACTCCCAACCCTATTTAGTATTTTATTTAGAGACAGGGTCTCACTGAGTTGCTTAGCACCTCGCTTTTGCTGAGGCTGGCTTTGAACTTGAGATCTTCCTGCCTCAGCCTCCCAAGCCACTGGGATTACAGGCGTGCACCACTGTGCCCAGCTCTGCCTCTCTTCTTAATCAGCAGACATCCAGGGGATTCCTGTGAATGAGGTCCTGGCTGGTAACTCACAGGACAACTGGACTGAGGGAGGAGGAGAAGCGGGAAGCTATTCGAGCCCTACGATACCAGGCACACTCTCTAGGGAGACTGTGGAGCCTGGCCAGAGTCAAAAAGGGTCCTTTAAATCCAGAGGCATCTCCTAGACCCAAAGGGATTCAGCAGAGGCAGGAGATGCTGCTCTGAAAAGGTATCTCTGGGACACTAGGATAGAGTCCTCTTTGATCTGTTTTCTATATTTGGATTTCAAGTGGTGCTTCATTTGCCAAAAGGGCTTGAAGCCTACTGCTGTAGAAGCAGAAGAAACCCTTGGCAGTTGTCACAGCAGATGTGGCTGGAGAGCCCCAAGACACTCCTACACTAAGGGCCATTAGGTACTTTTGACCTTTGATCCTTCTCTGCACGATCAATTTTGATTGTTGGACCAAGTATCTTGTGTCTCTGTGGAGACCTACCCTTGGCTATCCAGGTGCTGAGGTTGGTGACACTCAACCAGCTGCAGGACGTGGTCTCAACCATCCTTGAGTGGGGCTAGTGATGAGAAGGGAGACTGTGATTGTTGGAAGAGACAGGTCAACGAAGGGCCTCATTAACCAAGCTGGGAAGTTGGAGTGGAGATTTTCCTGAAGGTCACAGGTGTTATTTAAATATCCCAAGTAGCAGAGTAACACTCATAGATTTGCTTTTTACCTTGCTGCTTTGTTTGTAATGTATGATTAGGACGAGGAGAGACCTAGGGGACAGGGAAACTTAGCCAGTATCTAGTGTGAGATAATGAAAGCAGAAACCCAGGCAATACCTTCCTGAAGGCAGAGGAAGGGCAGGGGCGAGGCGTTTAGCGGCCAGAACAAATATGACCTGGTTATTGAGTGGATGTGGCGCTAGGGGGTCTCTTATCAGCCTCCGAATGGAGGCACCTTGAAGGAGAGGTGACAGAGGGCAGTTTTGAATAGCTTGACCCTGGGGACTCGAAGCAGAGCAGTTCTGTGGAATATTGGATCAAGAGGCTGAAAACTTTAAAATAAAAACAGTAGGGGCTGGAAAATGTGGGGTGTGTCAGAACTAGCTTTTCCTTTCTCTAGTCAAGGAGCTCTGCACGCAGCGGCTGAGCCTTGCTGGACGTGGGGACAGTCAGGAAGCATCTGCTGCTTACCGGCTCTGTCAGGGAGCCACAGGGCCTCAATCTCCTTTCTTTCCTTGGTACGTAGGGGGGCACTTTAAGGATGCTCAAACTGCAATCCAGATGGCCATTCGTCAGATACAGGGTGAGCTGAGTCAGGGCCAGCTGGTCACTGTACGAGATGCTGAGGTCCGTTGCCCATACCTGATCAAAACAGGAGCCGGGAAAGTGAGGGTGAGATGGGGAGAGAAAGGAAAGTCCCCGCCACCCCTAACCAGACAGAACCCCAGTAGAAGGGACCACACCCATGACCAGGGGACTTGATGGAGATGTTGTTGCTTATTTCTGCATCGTTCAGCTGGGGGATGGAGTCTGACTCCAATCAGGATTCCAGGTTACATGGGAAGTTACAGAGATGAAAATAACAGATAAATCTAACAGAAGGGCCTTCCCGAAAGGCTTGGGTTGACTTGGATTTTTTTCGCCTGTGACTTGGCATTTCAGAGGTGTTCAGTGCAATGTTTTCTACTGAGAAAATGAGACTGGATGGATGTGTCAGGAGATGGGAAGCTCAAGTGGAGAAGAAAGAGGGCAAAGAGTGAGAGAGAATGAGCTGGGAAGAGTGAGTGAATAAGAGGAGAGGTAGTTTGCCTTGAATTGGGGGGAAAAAAAAGCAGTGTTGACCTCTGGGAAACCCAACATGATTTTAATGGGAAACTGATGGTTGGCCTGTAAGGCTTAGCTCCACCGCCATTTTACTGTGAGAGTGCAGGAATGTCTCATGGCCACCCCACTTCATTTTTAATGCTGAATTAAAAGTGAAAATTCTTCAAAAAGTAGGGAAGAACACTAGGATGCATTAAAAACAAAAACAGACATTAATTGAATCAAACATTACTGTCACCTACAAGATAACCTAGCAAAATCCATTAATTCCTTGAACAAATATTCAGTGAGCATCTACTATGTGTTAGACAATGACAGAGAAGGCTCCTGTGCAGCCTCTCCTGATTCTCCTCAGACAGATCCACTTTATTGACCTGTTATTTCCCACCTACCCTGCATCGAGAAGCACCCCAGGATCCTCCTCAGTTCAATGCTCCAGGGACATCACTGTGCCAGTCAAAGGCAAACCATGGGCACAGGTCCTGTCATCAGGAAGGTGGAGTCGGGTACACACATATTCAATCAGTTACCATACAACGAAGTCCGTAATACAGTAACGTGGGGGAATAAAGCAGAAGGAAAGCGCAGACAGATTTTACCTAGGGATGTCAGGGATGCATCCCAAAAGCGACATTTAACCAAGCAACAAAACCACAACTGGCACCCATGTGTCAAGTACGGACAGGTCTTTATAGTAACCTTTCTTCAGATCTTTATAGTAACCCCCAATCCATAGCCTGATGTTATGGATGAAGAAACAAGTTCAGGGTGGTCCCCAAGTCCACAGGGATAGGAAGCAGGGGTGCTGGGACTCAAATCCAGCTTTGCCAGGCTCCCAGCCCACCCTCTGCCCATTCCCTGGTGGAGGAGATGGCATGGATCCTGCACTGACTCTCCGGTCAAATTAAAAACTGAAGTTGCAGAGGATCAGAGCATGTTCTTGCTTAATACAATCCATGCCATGGAAGTGTCTTGTGGAGAAAACATGAAGTATTGTATTTCTGCAGCGTGCTGTAATTAGCAGTAATGCATTTTCACTGTAGGAAGTTGGAAACTAACACATTTTCATGAAGACTTGATTAAATATTTCTTTCCTCTTCGAAAGCCTACAAGTGCCCCACTCACCAACTCTGTATGTTAAAATACATAATACATCTGCCCTAGAGTGGACTCCTCTCAAACAAATCTAGCAGTGAGTGACTTGAGTAAGCATTGAATGTAAATGGCATCATTATAAGGATATTAAGGGGTCAAGCTGTCAAGGCCCCTTGCTAAACTGAAGCTAATTTCAGGAGTCATATTCGCACAGTAATGCCCTTTTATAATAGCAAATAAATCACATTTGCAACAATTGTTAAAAACTCACTGCCAAGTATCTATTGCAGTTGTAAATATCCTATTTGTCAACTTAAATATTTCCTGCTGTATGGCATAAAATGTAAATCAGATGGGGACAGTTACTGTTCCTTCACAGGAGAAAGTGAACTTGCTGCTCTCCCATGCCGGGCGTTTTTTTTTTTTTTTCCCTAGAGCTTCTGTGATGTCTTAGTGCTCTTGATCAAAGGGAAATGTATATAACAAACAGGGTTCATATTTATGCTAATGGTATTATTGTTTGGTGATGAGGATTTTAGTAGGGTGGCAGCACAGTATTGGGCAAAGATGGAGAACTACAGAGTCAGAAAACCCATGTGTAGGGGGCCTTGAGCGAGTTTGAGGCTTTCTCTACTTCTGTATCCTTAGGTGTCAAAGGAGCAAATGATAATATGTATTACATGGTGTTTGGGGGAAAAATGCATAAAATTGTCTTATAGATTATAAAGTTCAATACAAAACATTCCCTTTAACAGTAGATTTTTAGGAGAGACATTCTGGGCTGTCTCTGGAGCTACTCAAGCTCCCCATTTCATAACCGGTCAACTTCAGAGCAAACCAGTCCATAGGCCACTGGGTTTGGGCAAGGTTGGTATCATCCCAGCTCCATTTTACCCATGAGGATGCTAAGATGGAAAAGTGGCATCCGGGGTAGCCTGAGACAGCAAGGACGGGAGCTCTGGACTTTCCAGAAGCAAAGTACTTTTGCTTTTCCAGGCCACCCTCATTCCTTGGTTCACAAAGTAATATAGAAATAGTAGAACAAATTTCCTGAAGCCTTTTCCTCAACAGCAGGCTTGCCTGATTTGCTCAGATAATTGTTCTGCTCTCCATCTGGTTTCTCCACTGAAGACACTGCCTGAGGCGTGCTTGTTTTGTGTACCAGGGTTCCTATCTCCCCCTCTAGACCGTCAGCCCTTCAGGGGAAGCTGCCGAGTCTTTGTCTTCCCAAAGCGCCCAGCGTGCAGGGCAGGGACTGGCGCGGCAGGGCGCATCCGCAATTCCAAGCTGCACCGTGAACTCCCCCCAGCTTTTCCAAGGGGAGCTGAAGGGGAGCCGGTGCCTCTCCAGGCTGGGCTCTGATTCAAATGGAGCCAATATTCCTGCAGCACCTCCTCTGTGTCCCCCAGGCTCTCCCGCACCTCTCATTTCATCTGATTTTTAAAATTTTGGACTTGGATATTAACTTTAGAACCGAAATCTCTTTCTGCACTGAATACACAACTTCGACAAGCGATGACGGTGGCCTGTACAAAGACACTGTGAGCAGGGATGGCACGAGTGGATGGATTTTACAGTGTGTTGGTGGTGGCTTTGACATGACTTGCTTATAATGACTTGTAATGACTAGCTTGACGGGTTAATTGATTAGATGTGAGGGAGAGGGGAAACGTTACTGAAGGTTAGAGCTGGAATCACCTCATGCAATCAGTTTACTTTATAAATGGAGCAACTCTGGCATGGAAAGTGAAGTGGTTTGCTCTAGGTCACAGAGCCAGGTATCAAAGGTGCAGGACAAGAACCAAAGGGGTCCCAGGTCTCCGTCAGACATCACTTGTAGTTTACTGTTTGGTTGATAAGGTTCAAAAAATCATTTTGTTAAAGATGGCTTAGGGGCTTGGGATGTGGCTCAAGTGGTAGTGCGCTCGCCTGGCACGCGTGAGGCACTGGGTTTGATCCTCAGCACCACATAATAATAAAAAAGATATTATGTCCATCTAAAACTAAAAATATATATATATATTTTAAAAAAGATGGCTTAAATGTTAGAGAGACTTACATCAAGGCCTAAGAACACAGCAGCACAAAGGCTTTTGAGTCAGCCTTTCTTAATTTTGAAAAATGGTAGCTGTCCTTGGGTAAGAAGTTGAGGACACACCCAAGGGTGGGGCAGTCTGTGGTATTATCCTGAGAGATGATGGTTGTGGATAACTTGATGATTTAGAAAGAAGCAGGAAACAACAAGAAGATAGAAATTTACACAAGGAAGATCGGCTTTGCAAAAATAATATGTATACAAAAAACTACATGAGAATATACAGAATGTTAACCATCAATCTGATATTAGCAGAATGATAACTACCATTACGTATAGACTTCATGCATATTCTAGATCTGTCTAGCTGGCGCTAATAGGGTAGCCATGGAGGGGAGCTGAAAAGGAGCCCGGTGTCTCTCCAGGATGGGCTCAGATTCAACGGGAGCCAATATTCCTTGAGCACCTCCTCTGCATCCCCTAGGCTAATCTCTTTCTGCTCTTGAGCTGTTGAGCGCTTGTGGCTACTGAGCACTTGAAATGTGGTTGGTCCAAATGGAGACGTGCTGTCAGTGTAGAGGACAGATTTCCAACATGAGGATGCGAACAAGAATGTAGAATCTTTTATCCATAACATTTCATATGGATTACAGGTTGAAATGATAATACTTTGGGTTAAAAACATAAAAATTGTTTTCAACTTCTTTTGGGTTACCTTCTTAAAAGGGGCTACCAGGAAATTTGGCAAAGAAGTCCATTGCAACTTCAGCAAAGAAGGAGGGCCAGCAGGAGGGGGGGCGGGAAGAGAAGTACTGCTGGGGCCCCAGCCCTCCACAGCCCTGACTGCCACCGGGCTGGGGGCTGCACTCACTGCAGCTTCACCCAGAGGCCCCGGCATGTGAGAGCCAGTAGACGGGTCCCAGGTTCTTTGGGATAACAAGGTGACAACATGCTCTTGTGTGGGGAGGCGTGGGGGAGAGACCCTTTTTGCCTTAGGTGTTCCAGGCAGATGGAGGCCGCCTGCTCATCCCTGCTGCTTCTCCTCTTTCCAGTGACAGGCGGGATGGATGGGTGGCAGAGCATGCAGATGTGGGCAGATGTGCTCAGGCCCTACATTCTGGGACTGTCTCCAAATGCAAATAAAGATCTGTAACATAGGGCTTGGTCTTGACTCTGGCCAACTTGACAGGCATTGGGTTAGGTATGGCAGGGAGGGAGTAATTCATAGATCGAATATCATTCATCGAAGAATTAAGAGTTTCAGAGCTTTAAGAATCCGTAGGTATTTTACAGACTCATTTCAAGGTTTTTTCTTCCTCCTCCCCTCCCCATTTCTCCACCTCCTCTCCCTTCCTTTCCACCTCCTCCTTCTCTTCCTCTCCTTCCCCACCCCTCCTCTCTTTCTCTT